AGAACGGTCTTATAAAAGACGGGACCATAGTGGTGAATTTTGTGCAAACAAAACAAAACTTGGCTGATGCTTTAGCCAAAAGTTTGTCGAGGGACATGTTGCACAAAATGATTATAGGGATGGACCTTGAGCGTATTGATTAAATCACATTTAGAGGAATCTCAACTTGACGTCTAAATACAACGTTAGATCTTGAGTTCAATGAGTTAAATCCTCTAATATGTGGTTGTAGATACTTAGAAGGGAATCATCCCGAGTTAAGCATCTTGGTATACAACGTAAAGAGGTTGTTTCATACTTAATGAATTCTTTGATAAAGTGCTTTATTGCATAGCACGATTTGAAAGAATTCAGTTGCAGAGCACGATTTGAAAGAATTCACCTATGGGAGCATGAAGTGTGGCCGTTTCAAGATGTTGGAGGCTCGACATATGAAGGAGATATGGATACATGTCCGATATAGTGTCAAGATATACAGGGAAATGTATTGATTTTGTGTGTGTGTATATTTTGTAGCTCAACTTGGATTACGTAGGTTTAATCGTTTTCGACACCTACGGAATTCGAGTCTATTGTTGTATATTACACTAAGTGGAAGTTCAATCGTAAAGATACTTTTATTTATGCGCAACATTGTGAAGATGAATGATTAATTGGTTGATTTTCCATTGTTTATTTTACTCTAAAAATGGTGGAGGATTGTTGTAATTTTTAGATTAAATGAATGGGTTTAATAATAATCTCTCAAGAAATTCGTATTTATATATATTATGAATATGGTGTAGGAGTTATATATTTGTAAATGATACAGTATGAATTGGTTAAGTATATACATGTGTTTCGTGAAATATGTATTTGTAATTAGTTGTGAAATTTAAGTGCAGAAATTCTGCACGGGCTGTAACACAAGCATGTTAATTCTAACACGGGCAGTGTTAGATTCAAAACGGGTTGTGTCAAATATAACACGGTTGTGTTAGACTCAACACGGGCCATGTTAATTCTCTAAGAAAATATTGTTTTTTGCTCAGAAATTTGACACGGGTTGTGTCAGATGCAACACGGACCGTGTCAATTCTCTGAGAGAATGTTATTTTTGCACAGCCATTTGACATGGACCATATCAGATTTGACACAGACCATGTTAAATGTCTGGAACATGAACAAATGCGATTTTTCGTATGAAAACTACTAAATTGATACAACTTTTGACGATGTCTCTGGTGGTTTATCACAAAAATATTAAGAGAATGTTGAAGACACGAGATCTAATTCTTTTTGAGAGATTTTGAGAGCACTTTCGGTAGTTTCTTGCAAAAACTCTCCTGAAAGCTTTCGTTCATCTTCTTCTTCATGTTTCCTTATCTATGCATTCTTGAATGAATAATTCTAGAACATATTTCTCTTCATTGTATCTCAGAATCGTATTCCGGAAGTCCTTGCTCGTAACAGACAGAATAACGGTTTTAGAAAAGTTTCTTCACGCCTTGAAGGGATATTTGGTCCCTCAGTTCGATTTCGTTCTTATTTTTTTCTCCAGTTTTTAATAACATGTGTTTGATATGAAGGACCTAGGACCTGCCAAGAAGATTTAGGCATGACAATCAGAAGAGATCGAGCTGCTGGAACCCTGGTCTTGTCACAATCTGAGTACATCCATAAAGTGCTGAAGAGTTTCAATATGGAGAATGCCAAGGAGGTTTAGACGCCTCTAGGAGCACATTTTAAACTGAGTTCAAGTTAAGAAGCAGAAGAGTTTGATGCAGAATTTGCTGATTCTATTCCATATTCAAATGCAGTGGGTAGTATTATGTATGCAACGATCAACAGGTTTATGGGACGACCAGAGAAAAGTCATTAGGAAACAGTGAAATGGGTTTTGCGATACATGATGGTTACAGTAGGTTATGGATTGAAGTACAGAAAAACAGAGCAGTTTACATAAAAGGATTTTGTGATTCGGATTATGCAGTAGATCTGGATAAACGAAGGTCAGTAATTGGTTTTGTTTTTACTGTCGGTGGGAATACTGTATGTTAGAAGTCAAGACTACAAAGTGTGGTAGCTCTCTCCACAACTGAAGCAGAATATTTGGTTTGTCATATGCTCTAAAGGAAGGGCTTTGGCTAAAAGGATTAGTTACTGAGCTTGATTTTGATCAGAAGTTCGTTGAAGTGATGCGTGATTCACAAAGCGCTATAGATTTATCCAAGAACTCAGTTCATCATGAGAGGACGAAACACATTGATGTTCGTAGACCTGTTAACAAAGGTCATCCCTGTAAGTAGGCTCAGTACACTGCTGAGCTTGCTTCGAGTGTCAGAAGATTAGATGCGTGACACAAAGAAAGAGGTAAACTGAATTGAAAATCGAAGGTTGGTATTTCTCAAGTAAGGTGGAGTTTTATTGAAAGCTACCTGAGTAAACAAACAAGTTGAAGACTCTGGTTCATTCAGAAGGTCAAATGACGTTAACGAAAAAAAGGGCAAAGTGGAAATTTTCCAGGGAGTTAGTTAATGAGTTAAATAAAGAGCAGAACCGAGAATCCAGTTCCGCCATTGTTAATCTTTCTGAAATTTCCTTTGGTGTTCTCTTGTAACTAAGAACCCGAGATCATCTAATAAACAAACCTCTCTCTCCCGAGACGTAGGTACTATCACACCGATCGTACTGAACTCGTAATCCTCTGTGTCTTTACATTCTTGTTTTGTCTGTTTTCTTTCGGTAATTGACTTTGAGAGGATTCAACAAGGAAGACGAATTATCGGTGATAGAATTCGCAAGAACTAAACCGGTGTCTTAGAATTCCATATTTGACGTTGCACAATGGTGGATTTTGTGCGGACCAAACAAAATTTGGCGGATGCTTTCATAAATAGCTTGCCAAGGGACGTGGTACACAAAATATCGCAAGGGATGGGACTAGAGCCGGTTTTATGAATTGCAGTAAAGGAATCTCAACTCAACGTCTAGTATAATGCTAGATCTTGAGTTCAATGAGTTAAATCCTTTACTATGTGATTGTACATGTTTCACGACTACACATCCCGAGGTAGCATCTAGGTTATGCAATGTAAAGATGATGTTTTACTTAATGAGTCATTTGACAAAGTGCTTAGTTGTAAGACACAATATCATAAAGAATTCACCTATACAAGCATGAAGTGAGGCCGCTTCAAGATGTTGATGGCTCAACATCTGTGTGCTTGTGAATAGATATGGACACATGATCGTTATAGTGTCAAGGATTGCAGAAAAACTTGTATCGACTTCGTGTATATTTTGTACTCGGTAGCTCAATTAGGATTACTAGGTTCAATCGTTTCGACATCTATGTAATTCGAGTTTATTGTTGTACGTTACACTAAGTGGAAGTTCAGTCGAAAGATACTTTCATTTATGCACAAAGTTGTGAGGATGACGGATTGTCGCTCGGTTTTCAAGGATAATTTACTCTAAAATGGCGGAGGATTGTTTGATATTTTAGAGTAAATTGATGGATTTAATAAATCTCTCAAGAAATTCGTAGTTATGTGTATTACGAGTATGGTGGAGGAGTTAATGTTTGTAAATGATGTGATATAGGTCAATAAATATGCATTGGTTCGACAGTGAACAAGTTTGGTTGGAAGAGAATTAGAACTCAGTCTTCCTAATTAAAACAAAAATTTTGGTACAGAAATCTGACATTGTTCGTGTCAGATCTGACACAACCTGCGCCAGATTTCTGAGAGAAACTTATTTTGTACAGAAAACTCACATGCCATGCGTCAGTTTTAACAAATGTGATTTTTCGCATTTAAAGTGTCGATTTTGTAACTTTTGATGATGACTTTCGATATTTTATATAAGGAAAACATCATGACAAGTTGGGTACGAGATATATGATCAATTTTGAGAGATTTGAAAGGGTTTTTGGTGAAGAAACTTGTTATTTCTTCCCCATCTTTTTTTGTTCATCATTTTTTTCGGATTTTTTTGTTTCGGACAACTTTTGACGAGCAAATCAATTGTTGTTGATATTCTCTATATCTCTAAACGTATTCTTGGGTTTCTCTTTTGCTCGGTGGGGAGAGAATAACATTTTAGGAAAGTGGATCACATCTAGAAGATCATATCCGGGTTTCTTCGTTTTTTTTGTTTGCTTTCTCGTTGTATTCAGATCAATCCTTAATTTTAACAAATTCCATATTTGGCGTTGCACATTTCGATCAAACAAATCTGAATCAATTGCTCTACCTATGGATCGTATTATTATATGATGTTATTGGCATCATTTCGATTTCACGGAAAATATAATCGCGGACCTTTTTACTTCCTCTCGTCACAATGTGAACCGACTTCGATTTCCTCATTCATGTGTAATTAGATGAATTAAAAAAGTGAAATCCTTTTATTAACATAGAAAACGTATAGGATTTAGGTAAATAATAATTTATTTAATTTAGTTGATTATATTTGTGAAATAATCCTTTTATTAACATTGCTAGAGGATTATTAGGTTTCCATTTCGATTCGCAATTTCACAAATTTTCAATCCTCATACATATATTAATGTTTTTTAAATAAATTTTGATTATTTTTTTTTGCATTAGTATGCCATGTTGATAGTGGAGAATGGAGGTTACCACGGAAGCGAGGCCTGGATGACTGTGTGGAAACCATTTGTTGAACAGGATGATGAAATAAGTGCGAGCCATATGTGGATTTCTAGCATGAATGAAGAGGGGCGCGCAGTTAATGCGATAAAATGAACCAATTCTACGAATATAAGTCCCAAACATTAGGAAATAATCTATTATATGTAATAAATCACCTGTATCGCTGGAAACAAATCCGATTGTTTGGACTATGGACCAATTCTATGTCTATAAATCCCAAACATTTAGAAACGAGAGCCATACCAACAATCTCAAAGCTTTTGATCTCTGTCTTTTTGAATGGCATCTCATGTCATCATGGTTGATCGGGCGATCAATTTGCTGCTGATTCCGGTAATCACGATGTTGATAATCACAACTTCCTCCGCAAAGATGGATATTTCAGAATTGCAAGAGGTTGAGATACAAAGACACTTGGAACTAATCAACAAACCTGCTGTTAAATCTATCAAAGTAAGTAAGTTCAATGGATATATAAACTATAAGATTTCTTAAATGTTTTGTTATTTATACATTTGTTGGATAACTGAGTCACGAGATGAACAGCGTTCATGTTTTGGATTATGTTATGTTGTTATTTTACTTTTGAACAGAGTCCAGATGGAGATATAATAGATTGTGTTCATATTACCAATCAACCCGCTTTCGATCACCCTTTATTAAAGAACCACACTATTCAGGTATGTCTTATCTGTAGAAATTATTTGGTATGTCGTCTTTTAAATCTTTTTGTCTTATATTTTCACTTCTAAAGCATTGATTTGCTATTTCTTCTCACAATATTTTCTTATGCTGTTATGATCTGAATGATGTCAAATAGATGAGGCCAAGTTTTCTCCAAGAAGATCCTTCCTCAAAAACTGGTGGCATAGCTCAGGTATGGCATAAGAACGGAGAATGTCCAGAGAGCACCGTTCCAGTAAGGAGAACAACAAGAGAAGACCTCTTACGTTGGGGTTCCATAAAAAATTACGGAAAAAAAGATACAAATTATAGCAGCCATGGATCTCGATTTCACCCAACTCAAAAAGATTCCTTGGAAAAACGTGAGGTATATTGCTGAAGTTAAACTTGATTTTGATTAATTTTAAGCTTCAATCAAATTAATTTAAGCTAAGTTTAATTTTGGATCATTGATCCAATATAAATTGGGGCCAAATCCAAAATTAATTTATGATCTAATTTCTAAAACAATTTATAAGAAACATATCTAGATATTTAGTTAGAAAAGTTTAGATAGTTATAATAACATATTTAGATATTATAATAGAAAATCTTGATATTAACATATTTTATTTAGGACATTTATATGAATAGTTGTTATGAAATGAGTATAAATAGTCATATTTCCTTTCGTTGTAATACGACGCAAAATCAATGGAAATAATTTTTTTAAAAAATATCTTCCTTCCAAGTGTTCTTCTAATTTCATTCCTAGAATTTTCTTAAAATTTTCGAGTTCTTTATAGAACTCGAACCAGTGCTAAACATTGCTAGAGGATTATTAGGTTTCCATTTCAATTCGAAATTTCACAAATTTTCAATCCTCATACATATATTGTTGTTTTTTAAATAAATTTTGATTTTTTTTTTTGCATTAGTATGCCATGTTGATAGTGGAGAATGGAGGTTACCAAGGAAGCGAGGCCTGGATGACTGTGTGGAAACCATTTGTTGAACAGGATGATGAAATAAGTGCGAGCCAGATGTGGATTTTTAGCATGAATGAAGAGGGGCGCGCAGTTGATGCGATGGAAGCGGGTTGGCAGGTTTCTCGTTCGTAGGCTTTGTTTCATATTTCTGTCATGATTGAAAAAAAACATGTGATGATTGATCTTTCTGTTTGCGTTTTGCTTATAGGTAAATCCAGTAGTGTACGGCGATAAAAACACGAGACTCTTTATTTATTGGACTGTAAGTTTCATCTAATATTTTTTCGGTCCGTTTCCGTATCCATATATGGCCTAACGATTAAGCCACATATTCTCATGTACCACGATTCAAATTAATGGAAAACTCAACAAAACAGGGTGATGGGTACGACAAAACAGGCTGTTATGACCTCAAATGTGAGGGCTTTGTCCAAACCAGTAGCAAGATCGCTGTTGGTGCGGCCTTCAACCACTATTCAACTCCTCGTGGTCCAGAATATAAATGCATCTTTCTTATAAGGAAGGTATAACAAAAAGATGGGAAAAACCGAATACATTCATGTTTCACATCATATATTGATAAACTAACGGCTTGATGCATGGTAGGATCCTGGGAGCGAGAATTGGTGGCTCCTAACCAATAATCACCAAGTCGGGTATTGGCCGAACTAACTCTTTCCATTGCTAAAGGACACGGCAAAGAAAGCGGCATGGGGAGGAGAGATCCAGAATGTAAAGAAGTATGGCTTCAAACATACTTCCACTTGCATGGGAAGTTGTTTTTACCCGCAGGATGGTCGTGGGAAGGCATCCTTAATAAGCCGCATTACTGTACTACAGGGGAACGTGAAGAAGGAGCCCGGAGAAGGTTTTCACCTCATCTCTAAGAAGGAATGTTACAATTTATTTTATTACCGTTTTCACCATAAGTTGGGATCACACCTCTTCTTCGGTGGACCTGGTCGAAGCATATATTGCCCTTGAAATGAACTTATGATGTATCCTAAAATAAATTGAATGATTCAATGTTTACTCTTTAGAGTTATAACCAGCTTATGTATATATATATATATATAACACAAGAATAGTTAGTTCAAATGGTAAGAAAGGGAACAAAACTCATTCTCATTCCAGGTTTGAGTCTCCATATAGAGAGCGACATTCACATGGATTTCTCCGATCCTCTGAAAGATGCAATGCACAATGATTTTTCAAATTATAAAAACTAGAGAAAATAAAAAAAAAAACTCAACTTTTTATTCTTTTCAAAATATATATCTAAAAAATAAGTAAAATCTTGTGTATTAAAATGTCGAAAAAAAAAAGAAAGCTCTCTAAGGGGCGATTGCCGGTGTCCCCCACTGGGACCCCATCCTCTTCACCGTCCGCGGCCATCCTCCCCACTGTCTCTTCTCCCCCACTTTCCTCTCCCACTCACACCTACTCTCCATCCTCACCCACTGAAAAATCCCCATCGTCTCCTTCGACTATTCCTGTTGCCCCACCACTGAAAAGCCCTAGCCCCCAAATTCCTCCTCCGGTGGCTCCATTGGCGACGAGCTCCTCTTCTGCTCCATCAAGCTTGGAGTTCACCCTCTCCCCCCAGGATTCCCCCCCCTTATCTGCTCCTCCTGCAAAATCAGTTGATTCTGGATTTGGGTCTGGGTTGATGCTCGCAGTTCCGGCTCCGGCGGTTGCTGCCTCCACTCCGATCGCAGTCCTGATTCGGCGGGTGTTTTTGCGTCGGTTCAACAACCTCTGCCTTCTCCTACTCCGGCTGCATCCTCTGCTTGGGCAAACCCTAATTTTCCCTGGGCTCAAAGACTCAAATCCTCCTCTAGGAACTTATCCCGTGTCACCACGCCATCTTACTCGGAGAACGGTACTCCACGTGTGAAAGTTCCGGGCTCAGCGCTTCTTGAAACGTCGAAAGCTTGGGCTGGTAATCTCATTGGCCATTTCATGGGCTTGCTCCTTCTGGTTCTCGGATTTTTCAGGCCCTCAATCCTATTTGGGGAAAGAAATCTCGGATTCTGGTGAGACGTATTAGTGATTCTTCATGTCTCTTCCATGTGCCGGATCTCGCCACCCGGGAATGGATTCTAGAGGTAGGGATATGACATGCAGCAGATGTCATGTTCACCATTTCAGAATGGACTCCAACATCATCTCTTCGACAAACAGAATTAAAGTCTGCACCTATTTGGATCACTCTGAAGAATATCCCAGCTGAACTATACTCCTTGCAAGGCATCAGCTACATCACAAGTGGAAGCGGGGAGCCATTGCATACCGAAAAAATGCGCCTTGACCCCTTGAACATTGGTGAATCAAGGGTCAAGGTCGAAGTCCAACTAGGTGGCATTTTGTCGACGGTCGTTGAGGTTGAAGATGATAAGGGTGGTGTTGTTACTGTTACTGTCGTCTACTCAGTGCAAAGAATTCGGGCATAAAACCTGCGTCAGATTTCTAAGAGAAACTTATTAACTGTCCGGTCCCATCTATTGGACAAACTCAACGGGAGCCAATGCAGTCAGCTTCCCAGCCTGAGACATCAGACCAGTCTCATCCATCTTCTACCCTCTGTGTTGGTTTAGTGCTCTATGATATACTGTTTATGAGTTTTATTCAGATACATTTGATGTATTGATACTTTCTACGGTTTTATGAGAGTATTTGATTCATTGCATGTTCTTGTATATTAGATATGTTATGAAATCCATGTATCATTATGAATGATACTGAACTCCCTAGTCTTATGTCATTATGGGAATGATGACATAATAAGACTAGTTGATGTGTGATTGATGATCATATAGATGATCATAGGTATTGGATACGATCACAATCATAGGTATTCGTTGGAGAACGTAGCTCTCTCCGTAAGCGAGTAGAGGAAGGTTTCAAGAAATACATCTTCAAGAGTAATCCCCGGTCCCTTCTTGATTGCTTTACAGTTCATCTTGAAGTTTGTAAGGTGTGCATTCGGGTCCTCGTTGGGTCTCTCTCGGAAACTCATGTTGTTGAGCATTTGAATGCATTGCGGTAGGAGTTCGAAATCTTCTATGGTGCCTGATTAATGCATGATAGTAGCTGGGTGTGCTTCGGTTGTGTGTACGTTCGAAGCATTCTAGGGGCGGCTTGGGCTGGACCTCTTTGGGCATTGGCCCCTCTCAACAACTCTTCGTCCATTTCGGGTTGTTCTCTTCGTGCGTTGTTTTCTCTCAGCATTTCTTCGACCATTCCCTACTGTCTTTGTTGTCTCCGAGCGAAACGTAGAGTCCTTTCTATTTCAGGGTCAAAGACAAGTTGATCTCCACCGGTTGTGCTTCTTGTCATGCACCGGAAGAGCTGCGCACCAAAGAGACAAAACGAGCCGAAAGTGCTGTAAAATGGTTATGTCGCAAAGTAATCCAAGCAAGTTTCCAAGCAATGGTGATCTAGCAAAAATCTACACTAACACAAAAACGCCTAGTCCCCGGCAACGGCGCCAAAAACTTGATGCGCACGCACCGAGTCTTATATTTAGTACTCGATCCGTACCACTATCTGCAAGTATACGGTAGTTGTAGTGTAACAACCCGTGACCGCTACGAATTGTCGAAACTGCCCCCACACAGAAACCCGGGACCTTTCAGTGTGTTTTGTCCTCACTCGCACGCATACCGAGACACTTCCCAGTAGGTCACCCATCCTAAGATTGCTCCAGAGTCAGCACACTTAACTTTGGAGTTCTCTCATGATAGTCAACAAAAAAGGTAGATGCACCTTGTAGCTATGAGTAGCTCACCTAATTCTTTTATGTTATCTTAGACCGTATAGTCCCATACCTATACAGCCCTCAGATCTTTCTCATTCCGGTGTGTTCGATTCATCCCTGTACCCCCTATCCAGAAGCTCGTCAAGAGCCGCCCCTTGTCCGTGCCTCTGCACCGACAATCACTCCTCGCCCTCCTATGGTACTCTGGTTTGTCACAGGCCCACCAGCTTCTGCCTGGTTCGTCCTCGAACCACACCGTACTGGGAGAGTACCGGTTCTGATACCATCTGTAACAACTCGTGACCGCTACGAATTGTCGAAACTGCCCCCACACAGCAACCCAAGATGTTTCAGCGTGTTTTGTCCTCATTCGCATGCATACCGAGACACTTCCCAGTAGGTCACCCATCCTGAGATTGCTCCAGAGTCAGCACACTTAACTTTGGAGTTATCTCAGGATAGTCAACCAAAAAGGTAGATGCACCTTGTTGCTATGAGTAGCTCAACTAATTCTTTTATGTTATCTTAGACCGTATAGTCCCACACCTATACAGCCCTCGGATCTCTCTCATTCCGGTGTGTTCGATTCATCCCTGTACCCCCTACCCAGAAGCTCGTCAGGAGCCGCCCCTTGTCCGTGCCTCTGCACCGGCAATCACTCCCCGCCCTCCTACGGTACTCTAGGTTGTCACATGTAGTACCAGGGTCGAACACGAGGACTAGGATGTATTAGTCTATCTCTAAGTTAGAATGGAAATCAAATAAAAATATGAACGATGGTGTGTGTTGGAATGAAAACAAACAAATAAGATTAACGGTTTGTAAACGATGATTCGAGACGTTGTGGGTTCGGGATCCCTCAAGAATCGCATGGACGATTAGTGATGTTACAATGCCTATGGGTTTATCTTCCAAAAGGGGGTTTCAAGCGCTTCTTCTAGAGTTTATCTCTCCCAAGCTTAAACTCACTACCTAGAGAATCGATTCACCCATCTCTCAATGATCTAAATGATCTCTAGATGCATTAGTGTACCCTATCATGAACCCTAAGCAAGTTAAGCCATCTCCCAATGTGCATAACTCACTCATTTGACATTTAGTTCCAAATATCATTCCCATATCCCTATGATCAATGTGTTCTATGGTCATATCAATAAGAGTTTCATCCAAATCAATAGCATTAAGCACAAAACATCAAACCCATGGAAGAAAACTCAAAAGCATCATAGATAAGCATAGGTGTCCTTACAAGAGTGGGGATCCTTCACCCATAACAAAGTCCTTACTCCATAACTAGAGGTACAAAATAGAAAGCAAAGTAGAGAAACATAGAAAATGAGAAGAAATGCTCAAAATGGTCTTCAATGGTGTCTTCTCCTCCAAAATGTATTCCTAGGTCTCCAAATCTCTCTTCCTCTTCTCCAAGTTGATTTTCTCCAAAAGGGTCCAGTCCCCTTTCTCTCTCCTCAAACTCTCCTTTTTGTGTAAGTGCAAAAACTAGGTTTTTCCTAAAAAAT